TTCTAAGAACAAGGAGGTCAAATGACCTTAAACAAGTATAAATTGATGGTTATGTTATTTAATGCCTATAAGATTTTTGATGGAATGCCTTAGAGGTGTTCAAGAGCTTAAATTGAAGAAATTAAAATGAATGAAATAAAGGTTATCATTCCTTGGCCTAAATTTGGCCAAGTATGGAAAACAAAGGACAAAGAGGATTACGATAAGGTTTAAGGGTATAAATGGCATGAAAAAGATCACATTTAAGTGTGGAATGATTGTTCATGCTGCTTATCATGTCTAGCTATGATATGATGTTATCCATGTTTAGTGTTTGTTCACAATTGAATTTGACCTATGGCTATTTTGTGACCTTGATGTTCATGGGTTGATTTAATGTTGTTTCTATGTATTATTGGTGTTTTACAAAAGTATACAATGTCTAATGTTTCATGAATAAATGCCATATGTTTCATGAATAGTTTATCTTAACCTACATGCCTAATTAAGATTCATAGATCATGTATCCTGTTAATGATTGCATTCACATCACAAAATAGTTTTAGTCATGTTTTCAAGGATAAAATCAAGTGCATTGGTTTTCAAGAAAATGACTAGGCATGTCTAAATCACAGTCATATGATGGCATAAAAAGAGAATGATCAACTCTTTGTGGGTATCACGATCATAGGTTCAATCATAGTTCACAATTATGAACATCACAAACTTCACAAAGGGCATGTTTAGTGCTTTTCATAGTTTTCATAAACATGATTTTCATGGATAACCAGATATATATAAATATATTCAGTAGGTTGCACCCAAACACATAAAATGAATTTCAAGAGGGACAAGAATGATTTTATAAAAGTTGCATCATGTGCATTCAAGCATAAAAGACATCACATGCAATGCCAGGATTACACTTAGTTAGCATTGCATTGCTTACTTTTGTTTCTTATGGTGTAGGAGAAGATAAAGATAAATGAGGATTCACCACCAAGATATGTACAAGACTTGCCTTTTGTGTGCTTACGGTTAAAAAGCATGAGAATCTCACTTTAGCTTAACTTGATTTTTGATCATATGTATGTATTAGCAAGTTAAGCAAATTTTTATATGTAAGTTAGTTAACTAAATATTTTTTTGTATTAATGAATATATGACTTGAATGTTAAGTTAATGTTATGCCAAACTTGTTAATCATAGAACTTGGTTTCTTAATATAGCTAATATGGCTACGATGATATAATTGATTGGATTATAGAAATGATTACAATTTAGAATAAAAAGTATGGAATTAAAAAAAAATACTAAGGTTAAAAATAAAATCAAATCAAATGGCTAAGTTATTAGTAAAAGTTTAAATGAATTTAGTGATGACTTTATTAAATTTAAAGAAAATTATAACAAGTTATTTTGAGATGGACCTAGGATCTCATACTTATTAGGGACCTCACTAGTTAAAATTCCCTTCGCCAATGAACTGAGAAGGATAAGAGAGGAGGCTTCTTTTCTTGTATTCATTGCACTTCGAATGTAAATCAATGTCGGTAATATCCATGATCTATCTAGGTCCTAGGTAGGGGGTGTTACATCTTATGTGGGTGTTTAGCTACGTAGATCATCAATAGAGGCTAGATGCTTAGATAGTTCTTTTTGCAAATTTAATTATGAGCTACATGAGATAACACCTAATCATCTTGTTATTAATATAGTTAGTTAATTCAATGGCTGATCTTGGGACTTTAGATAAAGAAGAACAAAATTTTTTATTTATTTTTCATCTCAATAGGATGCATGATCCTTTAGAATTTAATGCTTATTTTAGGTTACCTTGTTTAGTTTGGATTATCTTAATCAATTTAGATTCCCTTAATTGACTTAGGTCACCTAAATCGGGGTTTGATTATACAAAGGATTTCTATTAGTTTTGTATTTGTTATTTAATTTGGATTAGATAAGTTAGTCTTGATATTTAGATTTCGTAGTAGAATTAGACTAAATGTTTTGTAGTCCATATTTGATTAAAAGCCAAATTGTTATTCATTGAACAAAGTAATAACGGATCTTTATGTTATAGCAGCTGAATATACTAGTATAAATAAAGACCTTTTGCTTGTAATAGAAACACATTATTTTGATGATTAATAAAATCTAGAGAAGTTTCTCTCAAACTTTGAATCCTTATGCATTTCTTAGGGTTTTGTTATGTATCTTTAAAACTTGATTATTCAAGATAGTGCTATAGATCAACCAAACTAACCAAGAGTGTACCAAAGTTATAAATCTCAACAAAATCATCTTAGGTTTAATCACTAAGCTAGATTGTAGTGGAGGTTCCAACAACTTTTCCAAGATCAATCAAAAGCTAGGGTTTTCCATCTACTCAAAGGGTTTTAGCCTAAATCAATAAACACTAAAATTTTTTAATTATTCATTAGCTTAAAAAGAAGATTTTAGATTCTAAGTCTTTAAAAATACAAAAATTCGATAATCACATACAAAATTATATTGGAGTATTTATCTTAGTTTGTCATCACGAAACGAGTGTCATTGTTTCATCTACCTAGTTTGAATTTAGGTCACCTAGTTCGGGATTTGATTCTTACAAGAAATCTATACTTATTTAGAATTTATATGTGATTTAGACTAGGAAATTAGTCCTTATTAAGTATAGTTTGGATTCAAGTATTCTAGTAGATTTAGACCAAAGTTTTTATAGTCTATGTTGGACCAATTTTTATTTAATCCGGACGGAATGTAACAAGAATTTATATCCTTGATGGATGAATATTACTAGTATAATTAAGGACATAATCCTATAGAGAAAATCTTTGTTGATATTGATTAATAAACTCTTGAGAAGTTTCTCTCATACTTGTGAATCCTAATACTTGCTTAGGGTTTGTGTTATGTATTCTTTAACTTGATGAATCAAGATGGTGATATCAATCAACCAATCTAACCGAGGATTAAATGAGGTTATTTAGTCTCACAAAAGTCATCTTAAGTTAGTCACTTAACTTGATTGTAGTGGGGTTTGAAATAATCTTTGCCAAAGTCAATCGCTAGCTAAAGTTTTCATTCCTTTAAAGTTTCAACCCATATACAATTTGGGTTGTAATTTTTGTTTCATTTACTTTTCTTTAAATAAGATTTTGACTTCCTTATTTGCTAAAAGGGTTTACTTTCGACGGCAACAAAAAACTACTTGGAGCATTCGATTTGGAATTAATTCTTCACAAAAATGATAACATTGGGGTTGGAGGCCCAAGTGCCAATATAGGCCTAGCATGAAATGAAGGCTTGAATGACAATTTATCCATATGGATGACTTGTCGTTCAAGTCTTCTTCTTCCTTGAGCTAGCGTGATCGATTTCTAGCTAGTCATCACATTCCGAGCAATCATAATGGCAACATGGTAAGCTGCCATTTTCTTTTCATTCTTTTACCTATATATATATATATATATATATATCTAATCAATCTAAACTCAAATATAACCTCAAACATCGTTTGTAAATAACAAATAAACATAAAAATTTATTTGACAAGTGAAATGGCTTGGTAATAGTTTTTGTCACACCGTTTGTAAATAACAAATAAACATAAAAATTGATTTGAAAGGTTTTACATCTAAAATTTCAAATCCCCTTACCTCTTAATTTTGGAGATGAAATGGCTTGGTAATAGTTTTGGCCAGTTTGATTGTCGAAAAGTTTTGGACTCTTTCTTTTATTTTCTTATATATATATAATTTTAAAATTCCATACACTCAAAGATCTTGTTTTTTAAAAAATATATATATATCTTGAGAAATACTAAACAAGATAGAAAGATTACCCATTTTTAAGTATTTTAATTTGAGTAGTTTAGATTTGTTTATATAAGCTATTGGTGTATGTTTTTTGTCACATGGAGAAATGACATCTAAGATGGCGACAACATTGTAATGGAAGGTACCTAAAATTAATATCGATTTTTCGAAAGCTATTGGATGATTAAGAAAAACTTGAGCAATCCTATTGTTAAAATTTATCCAAAGTTATCCAAAAAAATTTTGGTTTAGGTCATAGAAATCCGAATAAGTCCCACGAGTTGATTCGAAAATCCAACCATTCGAAGCCTCAATCGGGTCGGGTTGATATTGAACCGATTGAAGAGTTGATCTAGTCAAATTCGGACAATCCATCAAGACTAAGGGTGAGCAAATGATTAAACGGTGCGGTTTGATATGATTCGGTTCGATTTTTGGTTAATCGAATTAAGAAAAATAAAAATCGAAACTAAACCAAAATAAATTTGATAAATTTGGTTTTTAACCGAATTATTTCGGTTTGGTTTCAAAATATTTTGGTTAAAACCAAAATATTTTGCTGGAAAAAAATTCTAGAACATTGTTTCATTGCCTTTCCTAAGCCACCACCATTTTCACCATTTACTTGTAAAGATAAAATGACAATAAGAATGGGACAAGGCCATATAACTCAATATGGGTTTCTAACAAATTAATGAGCTTCACCATTTGCATGTATAGCTGCGAGGATATAACCTAAGAACTATAAATATCTTGTTCATGATCCAATATATGGAAGCAATTAATTATATTGAATAAGATTCGGTTCGAGCAGGAACAAGAGCGAGATGGTACAAGTATGCAATCCAATCCAACTTACTTACATTACAAACTCAAAAATGAAATTTTACAACATCCCAATAATAATTTACTTTGATTAGAAGTAGAGTCTATTCCTTCAAATTAGTAAAAAGATACTCACACAATACATCAAAATAGCAATTAAAACATACCATGCAACTAGCTAGTAAAGTTGCGAAAGGACATGAATGTTTTTAGTTTTTCCAAATGTACAAATGTGTGTGGTAGTAAAGTAAACTACTCACTTCCTCTGCAACTCAACTCGCCTTCTAACTAGGTGTGCTATTTCTAACACTATATTTCCACACAACAACCAAATTGAACAAATGCACAAAATTAACTCGGCACATCTAACTTCTCTTAGTTACCACTTTGTCCATCCACAAAAAAGAACCCTTGTGCTCCATATTTATAAGCTGATCCTATCACAAATGTCCTTTCACACGGCTGAACACCACAACCCCGACTTTCACTACCGACTCGGACTCGACCCAGCTCGAACAGTTGCTCATCTTTGTCCACTCTAACGGAGGACCTTGGGCACTTAGATGCCTTTCCACGAGTGCTCAACTCGCTTCCACTTCCTTGCTCTAAGTTTAATTGACTTCGATTTCATGGTACATTGAATATATATTTAATCATTAAAGGAAAATGCTTTGTTGAAATTATGGATCCATTAGTCTCATACTGGGAATTTGTAAGAATACCCATCCCCACTGCAACCAAGGCTACTGGCGGATTTATTTTAGCAATCCACTCGGTGACGGGGTGCTCCATGGAATTATAGGAGGAGGGTGATGGGTGATTGGATAGTGACTAGTGAGATTGAAAGAGGAGACAGAGAGCTAGAGAGAGAAAGAGAGAGAGCGAGAGGTGGGTGTTAAGTGTGTTGCGATTGCTATCTTTTTGAGGTAAAAGACCCGATGATGAAGAATAACTAGAGAAAAAGGAACGAAGGATGGGGAGCCAAGGAGATGTGGCTAAAAATTGATTTTGATTTAGTGAAGTTAGCTAGTTAGGGTTTTAGGCGAGTTAGTATTTAGGAAATTTTTTTTTTAACTTTTAATTTTTTCGATTTTTGGTGGAAATCGATTTTTTTTTTCAAATATCGAACCGAACCAAAATAATTCAATTTATTCGGATTGATTTTTAATTTTACAAATTTAAATTTAAAACCGAACCAAAATACATAATTCGATTCGGTTTGATTTGATTTTCGGTTAACCGAACCGTTTGCTCACCCCTAATCAAGTTGGCCGAGTTAAATGTGAAAAAATAAAAAATAAAAAAGAAGAAAGAAACCCCAACTACCAAGTTACATGTATATAATATATTATATTGTCAACAAAATTAAAGTAAAACCATTATTTATTATTCATTCACCGTTTAAAATACTATTCACACACTCACAAATCACTATTTCTTTCACAATTTCATTTTTTTTTCAATTTCAAACTTTGATTGTATTGTGATTGGATCTTATTTTATTTTAGTATTTTTTGTTAATTATTTTTATTATTTAAAATTTACTACTTTAATTTATCATTTTTTAAAAATTCCTATCCAATTAATTAAAAATTATATTTACTTGACGATTTTGATTTATTCTTTGCATATGTATGGAATTTAGAACAAATTTTTAGAACATGATTATTTTTTCTCTTGAAAAATAGATTTAGATAATTTTTAAATTATAGTGGTATGATTAACATATATAAGTTTTTTGAAATATATTTTTAGATTAAAAGTGTTTTTCAACTAATTTTTTCTTAGCTTTTTTATATTATTTAAAATTTAATACATTAATTTGTCAATTTTTTTTAAATCCTCATTTTTTTTTTCAATTTCAAACTTCGATTATATTATGATTTGATCTCATTTATTTTAATATTTTTTATTAATTATTTTTATTATTTAAAATTTACTACTCTAATTTGTCATTTTCTTTAATTCTCATCCAATTAATTTAAAATTATATTTACTGATGGTTTTAAAAATTTTATTTTATATGTATGGATTTTGAAATAAATTAGAACATGATTATTTCTTCTTTCGAAAATAGATTTAGATACCTTTTAAATTATAGTGGAATGATTAATATATATAATTTTTTTAAAATATATTTTTTGATTAAAAGTGTATTCAAATAATTAATAGCTGAAAGTCAAATGTGAAAAATAAAAAGAAGATAGTTGCTTTGTGCGTGAGGCCTATATTCAAGGATTAGCCATGCATAGCATAGAAAAAAAAAAAAAAAACTATTTAAGGTGGAGAAAAAAAAAGAAAAAGAATTCACATGTTTTATTAATTTATTTCTTCTTTATATAATCAAAATTAATTGAAATTAAATTTGTCATAATTTTTATTTTAGTCTATTAACTTCAAATTTAGTCAACGATTCCTTGCAAGTTAAGTTTTTTTTATGTATTATTTTTTGTTTTAAAATAAAAACTTTGAACTCACATAGTATATTTATGATATATAAAAAAAATATTGAATCGTTATTCTTTTAGAAATTAATTGTACAACTACTACTACAATAAGCATTTACTATTTATTTATTGATTTTTGAATATTTTAAAATTAACTTATTTTAAATTAAATAATTAAAATTATGTTTTAGCTTTACCACTTAATGATTTAAATTAATATAATTTTCTATTTAATATTATTCATTTTTTTGTAAATAAATATATAAAAATTAATCACATTTTTCAAAAATCGATATTCTCATCAATATTAAATAAAAAAATTATCCAACTCTATGTAAGCTTTTAATAATTATTATTTATGTTTTTCAACACAATCTTATGAAATACTAAAGATTTTTTTAAAAACAAATTATTTATTCTTCTATTTAGTTAATAATTCATGGATTAACAAGGATAAATCCTTTTTCTAAAGGAAAAAATATGAAAAAACACAAATAAGAAATAGTTAAATATAAATTTTTTTATTAAACAAGTATGAATAATTTTTTTCACCTTTTATTTTATATATTTTTATAGATTCACACTATAAAATAGACTATCAAAATAAAATAATTTTTTTAAACGATTTTATATACTTTTTCAAACTCACAATGTAGCGCGGGCAAAAAAACTAATTTTGTTTAATCAAAATGGACTTATTATATATTAAAAGGATATATTTATATTTTTCATCATTCAATACATGTATAGATATAGTATAATATCTATACATGTGATGTAGAGGATAATAGCTTGGGAGGTTTATAAACCGTTGTAACAAATTTCTCCAGTTAGTTCGTAATAAATAGCAAAAACACTTTCCCAAATTCACTCTTTCTTAACATGGTATTAAAGCAGCAAATTCATCTTTTTCTTCTTCTTTTAGAAGAAACTGTTCTCTGCATCTAAATCATATTTCGTTTTGTATTTTTTAGTATAAAACTATAATGAAATACCATTGAAATGAAGTACCATCAAAAGTATTTATAGAAACCAAATTGCAGGAGATGAAGTTCAAACCATTGTTATGATACACATGGATTATATATATAATTAAAACGGATCAATTTACTAACCCAATGTATCACTCATGACCCAAAAACCTTAGCGAATCAAGTCTTGGACCGGATCGGACAACTATAGTTCTTTTGTATAATTAAAGAGTAGTGCTACATGACACCATTGGTGTCCAAAAAAAAAGTCACCATAATTTTATAAGGGTAGTGTTTTTTCGGAGGGATACAAGGGAGGTTAAAAAGTTGGATACTTTATTTTTGGAGGGAAAACAATATATAAAGCAACATATTTCGGACCAATCCTTGTTTATCGTGTACGGTTCGGATTCTTAATTATGCTAATGATGAAGAGGAATTTAGAAACATAATTACTTACAAAAAATATTTAATGTTAATAAATAATTGTTGAATAATATTTTAACACATAACAAGTCGGCTTGAAATATATCAATTTTAGCACATTGTTTCGAGCACGTCGAATTTACATCGATGGATAACCAACAATATTTAAAGTAATAAATTTAAGATAAATCCTTCATATTTTTATCGTGTAAGGTTTGAATTCCCAATTGATCAATAAATTACAAACAATACTTTCATGGTAAGACATAACGAGTCTTAGATATGCTAAGACATATTAGTTAAACTAAGAAGTATATCGTTTTTGGCACACTTTTTCAGCACACTATATTTACACTAATAGATAACCAATAATATTTAAAGTAATAAATTTAAGATAAATCCTTCATATTTTTATTATGTAAGGTTTGAATTCTCAATTGAGTAATGAATTACAAATAATACTTTCATGGTAAGACATACCGGTTGAAGAATATGCTAAGACATACTAGTTGAACTAAGAGGTATATCATTTTTAGCACACTCTTTCAAGCACACTAGATTTGCATTGATGGATTTTCGGACCAGTCCTTCTTGTGTAACATGTCGGGTTTGGATTCCTAATTATGCCAATGATGGAGAAGAATTTAGAAAGACAATTACTTAACAAACAATATTTAATGCTGAGAAATAACCGTTGAAGAATATTTTCGGTCATATAACGAGTCGACTACAAAATATATCATTTTTAGCACTTTATATTAAGTTTTTTAGCACACTATATTCAATTTTTAGCACACCGATTTTACACCGATGGATAGACAAGAACTCATACATTCCATTTTTGGGGATGATGAAAACAATGATTTGAATCTAGAAATCAAAAACTTAAACGTGGAAATATCAAGCTATGAAGAGGAAGAAGAATTTTATAATGATAAAGAAAATGTACGTTGTATTCATGGGGATGAAGAGTTTAGGAATTCGAAACTTTTGAAGCACCTAAGGCTAGGATGGAATTTGATGATGTTGAAGATATATTCCTTTCCTACCGGAAGTATGCAAGATCAATGGGATTTGTCTGTTATTAAGTCTCATTCACAAAAGATTAATGGTGTTCATAAATTCCAAACGAGTCTATTATGGTGCAAATTGGAGGTGCAAAGGAGATGCCTTGTCTAACTAAAGATTATAGGAATTTTATTAATTAGTCAAGGAAGTGAAGGCTCATAGATAAAGGTGATGCTATAGCTCTTTTGAAGATGTTCTTGAACATGAAAGAGTGCGATAAAGATTTCTTCTACAAATTTGAAAATGATGATGAAGGCAAGTTGATGAACGTTCTATGGGTAGATGCTCGAAGCTAGGTCGCTTATCGAGAACTTGGGGACGTTGTTATGTTCAATATGACTTACTTGGTTAATCGATATAACATGCCATTTACACCATTTATCACTATTAATCATCACTTGCAATCGATATTTCTCGATTGTGCTTTATTACATGATGTGGAGGTGAAGACTTTTGATTGGTTGTTTACGAATTGTTTACGTTGCATAGGCGATGTTGCACTAAAAGCCATCATCACCAATCAATGCAAGAGCATTAGTAAAGTCATTATACATTCTATGCCAAATACTAGACATAGATGGTGTTTATGGCACATTCTAACAAAGTTTTCGAAGAAATTCAAGAATCACAAGAAGAAACATAACTTACGAGAAGTTTTCATAGGTGTTATGTATGAAAGCTTGATAATCGAGGAATTTGAGAGTGGTTGGGATAAAATGGTTAAAGATTTTGATTTAGAAGGTAACAAGTGGATGGTTGAATTGTACGAAGGGAGACGGCGATGGGTTCTAGCTTTTATGAAAGATGTTTTCTAGGCAAGCATGTCATCTACTCAACGGAGTGAGAGTATGAATGCTTATTTTAATGGTTATGTGCATTCTTGGACCACACTTGAAACAATTTATAGAGCAATACAAAATTACTTTACGAGATAAGTTCATGAAAGAAAAGCATTTTAATTTTGATACCATGAATGTTACGGTTGCTTTATGAATCAAATTCCCATTGGAGCTTCAATTTTGATTTTTACGAAAGACGGCACTACAAAATTGTTGGAGTATGAGGTAGCATATAACCCTTCCAATAATGATTTATCTTGTAACCATAGGCTATTTGATTTTAAAAGAATTATGTGTAGACATGCATTTAGGTTCTTTGGTGAATAACAATGCATAAGTAGGCTGCAAATAAGTATTTGTTAAGACATTAGAGGAAGGATGTAGCCATACATCATAACAAGGTCACCACTAGTTTGGTCGATATCGATGGCATGACACAACATCTATCTTCGATTAGGGAGTTGGAAAAAATGTTCTATGAAGCAGTCGATCTTGCCATTTCTAATGGCACATTGATGTCATTTGTGAATAAATCATTGAGTGATTATTTGTCCAAGCTGAAAGAAATGACCACCGGCAATACTCGGTGTTGAGATGGCGAGTAATAATAATGAAACTAATGTTGTGGCTACTAAAGTGGTTGGTACACAAGAATGCATTATGCTTAAGGATCTAACTCGTGGTAACCTAAAAAGGTATGACAAAGAGAAAGAGGTTAGTTTCTAGACAGGAGTATGAATTTATTAAAGCAAGGGAAAAAAATAAGAAAAAGCTTGAAAATGCTAATGTAGGACCTTCGATCCTTAATGTTGCAGACAACTTTAGCGAGAAAACACCGAGTGTTTTGGACTACGACCAACTGTAAACTTTATTAAAATTTTGTAAATTTGGATTTCAATACACCAATACTTAGTTCTAGCATGTCCAAATTAACAATGTATCGGTGTACTTGCAACTAAAGAATGTTTATAGTGTTTTTAGAATGCTAGTTAGTGTGCTAAAAGGTCCAAATCATTCATTTTTCAAGTTATAAAAAACCAAATTGGTGTTTTTAGAATGCTAATTAGTGTGTTGAAAAGTCAAAATCCTTCATTTTCCAAGTTAGAAAAATCCATCCTTTTGTTTTCGAATACTAATAAGTGTGCTTGAAAAGTTAGTATCCTTCGTGTTCAATTGCATTATCAAACAACGAGTGTATCTATTGCATTATCAAATGACGAGTTTGTTAGTATATATCAATTTGTTTTGTTAAATTCTTAAAGAAACGTTAAGTCTTTTAGTCGGTACCAACATTATTTTCACCATTATCAAATGATAGTGTATCAATTATTAGTAAATCACGAGATATCATAAAAGTCGATAACTAAAAACATCCATTAAATCACATATATCACAAATTTTGATAACTAAAAACGTCTATTAAATCATAGATATCAAAAAAGTTGATAACTAAAAACATTCATAAAATCACGGATATCACAAAACTTCATAATTGATAAGGGTCATAATAAAAACATAAATAAAAGTCCATAAAATAACAAAAGTAGATATCAAAGATATCATAATCAAAATATAACAAGACCCGGATTGAAATCATTTTTCGGGATTGTCACTAATAGTGACAACAAAAACCTTCCTTGGCCTTCCTCGTGGTTTCTTCATATTCATGTTGCTATCTTCTCCCCTGTAGTCCTTCTTGTAGCTCTGGAGAATGAAAAGGACTCGGGGGTCCATCTTCTTTGAGCCACATACTTGTACGGATACATAAGGGGGGCATGTTAAGCATTGCGGCAACCATTGATTCTGTGTTCTCCAAAGCAAGCAAGCGTCGCGAGAACCCCTTCACCTCGGCTTTCCATTCGTTATGATTGTTCTTGCTTTCAAAGAACAACATTTGAAATGCTAGAGGGGATGAGAGCTTAGTAGCTCTTATGGGTTGCTTATTTGTTTACATGAAATGAATCATAAAAAAAAAAAAAAAAAAAAAAAAAAAAGCTTGCTGAAAAATATTATTAGAAGAAAATTAAAAATTGAATAAGATAAATATTTTTGAATATATGTAACCAGGAGTTTGGTAAAGGCTTGGGATGATTAAACATTTTTCTCGCCTTTTATCTTGCTTCTTCTCATTAATCAATTTAGGTTAAGTGTGGTAATCTTACAAAGAGTTTATAATAGTTTAAATAGGCCAAGAAGCTGTACAATTATAACCTCTTACAAGATTAACTTGCAATAATTTTGTTTTTAGAGTACCAAGACAATTGAAGCATGTATAACCGAAATAGCTTATTTGTAAGGTGAATATGCGAGTCTTTATTCCTTCTCTCCTCTAAACTTGTTTAAATTTGAAGCGTCCCTTTCTTTTTTCCCTCCTATCCAACTATTTGAAATTTTTTATGGTTAATGATAAGTGAAATGACTAGGCGTTTCTCCAATAATATAACATTTGAAAATTTTTAGTATGCTAAAATATCAATTTATGTGCTTGAAAATGAGTGTCGGTGAAATTTTTATAATAAAACGACACCGTGTTTTTGAAATCTAACCTATATCGTAGTAGTGGTCAACTTCGTCAATGGTCAATAAAATGATCATGTAATAGTAATCAACTAAGTTCATCTAATGGTTAATAAAATGATCATGTAATAGTATGTAATATCTCGATGATATCATATTAATGGTCAAAGAAGTCAACGATCACATAATAAGATATCAATAATCACATACTAAGATATCGATAAAATTCATCTCGATGATATCATAGTAATGGTCAAGTAAGTCAATAATCACTTAATAAGATAGTGAATGATCACATACTAAGATATCGACTAAATTCATCTCGATGATATCATAGTAATGGTCAAATAAGTCAACGATCATATAATAAGATATCAATGATCACATACTAAGATATCGACTAAATTCATCTCGATGATATCATAATAATTGTCAAATAAGTCAACAATCATGTACTAAGATAGCCAACAATCACATACTAAGATATCGACTAAATTCATCTCGATGATATCATAGTAATGGTCAAATAAGTCAACGATCACGTACTAAGATAGTCAACGATCACATACTAAGATATCGACTAAATCATCTCCATGATATCAAGATATAAACTAAATTAATGGTCAAAAATAAGTCAAATGATCAATGTAGACAAATAAATAGAATTCACATATATAACATATCAAGATATAGATGATATTGCAACTTTCATATTTTATTATCATATTTTAGTGAATTAAAAAAAGAAAGAAAATAAATAATTAATTGCACTATAGTTATGCTAAGATTACTATTTATTTCACAAAATATCAATTTATTTCCTTCTTAATAAATGGTCAATTCATCAAAAAATAAATGGAATCAACATTTTGTTACCATTTTCTATTTTTATTTATCTTAATGTCAAGTCTCTATATTTTATAAATATACTAAGATTGAAATGTCAATTTAGTTTAGTGAATTAAAGCTTGTCAATAACCAAATCAATTAAAAATAGACTTTTTAGAACCATGAAGAAACCTTTTTCAGACATACTTGAAAAAGGCGTGAAAGCAAATCAATAGCCATTTTCCAGAATTAAATATAATTGCTTAGAGGGCCCACCATAAACAAATCATTATAGTTATCTCTTGGGAATGCAATGAGAAAGCCTTTCAAATTATGTTTTTATCCTTAAAAATGGTGATTTGAATTTAGTTGACAAGGGATGCTTTTGTAATTTAATATGGTGCAAAGTTAGAAGTCGAACGGCCCATTTAACTCCAACTTATTCAAGACTTTTTAGAACACCTGAATAAACCTTTTTGAGCATACTAAAAAAAGATAAAAGAAAATTAGTTCACATTTTCCAAAATTAAATATAATTCATTACGAGCCTCACAACAAACAAATCATTATAGTTATCTATTGGGAATGCAATGAGAAAGCCATGCATTTATGTTTTTATCCTTAAAATTCTGAATTGAACTTACTAGACAAGGGATGCTTTTGTATTTTAATATGATGCCTAGTTAAAATTTCAAAGGAATAGTTTAACTCCAAATAAATCAAGCCTTTTTGGAACACTAATCAACCTTTTTCGGGACTCTAATCGGTTGCGTGCAATTAGAAAAATCAAAAACTTTATGCGAGTTATCTCTACCAAAAATGATTTTATCGATCACGATTTTTCATAACAAATGCATCCATCCTTTTCAATTTGTTTTCCTTTTCACTTGTAAAACCCTCGATCATCCATGGGAGATAAACGAAAAGACGGTAAACCTCATCGTCTTTCTAAGAAGGTGAAAGATGGAAACAATCGGGAACCTCGATACAACCACGGTTTGGTCGTTCAAACTCGGCAAGATAAACCATTCTTTTCGGAATGCGAGAGGGAAACATATTACAACAAAGTGATAAACTAAGAGAGGAGCATTACGAGTAAGCGCATTGATTTTGATAATCTGTTAGAGATTGGATTTAATATGGTAGATTATTTTGATAAATCAAGCTTACTTGGACCTATTGACGTTTTTAGAAAATATACACCACGATTATGTTAGGTATCTCTATGCTAGTTTGAAATCCAAAAAGATTGAAGGAAAAACTATTCTAACTAGAGAAATAAAAGGTGTTAGAGTGGTTATTATAGAGGAAAAAATACATGAGTATTTTAACTTACCAATGGAGGGGTACATTGTTGATTTCGATAAGAAAACCCCAAATAAATGGAAAAAACTTTCTAATCTACCGGGTTATAAATGAGAACAAATTTAGAAAATAATGTTATCATGAGCATGCGGAATGAGTGTTGAATGACAAGTATTTGACAAAGACTAGTTTTAAACTCGAGATTAGGTTTATTCATTATGCCATTATAGAAATTATCATGCCTAAGTTGGGTGGAAAAAAAGTATGTGTCAAGTCATGAAAGGATCGTAATGTGGCATATTATGAATAAAAAACCTATGAAATTTGTTGCTTTGATAGTAGATTGTAGAGATAAGAGGAGTGAAAGTATGAGGTCCGTAAATTATGGAAGGAAAAAAATTGGATTGGCGTATGGTATGATTCTCACTAGGTTTTTCAAAAACGAGTGAGTTAGACTTGGAGGTTTTAGAATGTGTGGGTTGGGATGTGGTGAGCAAGACCACTATATTGTTCATAAAGTTAGCCAAGACACCTTAAGGGTGGCGACCAAAACAATCCGAAACTATTACTTCTACTTCGTAATAGTTTGTTACAACCTCAAGTACTCACGCTGTTGGTACTAGCATAGAAGCCTCTCAAGTACATGAAATGGAGAAGCAGATTGGAGACATTAGGGAGGAATTGATTGCTTTAAAATAATTTGTTACGGATGGGTTATAAGCAAACATAGATGCTTTCAGCGAGCATCAAAACAATGCTAGCCAATGTAATGAAAGAGATCCAAACCAATCCTTATCTACATCACCAACAACATTCTCAACGAGCATGGAATTCCGGAGCATGAGGCTTTAGAGCCTCGGGATCAACAAACAACTCAAGATCAAGAGAGTGTGCATGAAATCCAGAGCCTCATCATGAAGACACTCGAAGGATGCAAAAAAGCTTTTAATACTTGATCTCAATGGAGTTTTGTTGAGTCTTGGGGATTCCTCGATGAAAAAGAGTGGAGACATCAAACTAAGAGACAAACCAGGTGAACAAAACATTATCCCGTACATTATTCCTTGTTGTTTGTTAAGCTTCATACCAATTTTATTTATCGATTTTCTTATGTTTCCTTTCAATCTTCGGGAGGCCCTATGTTGATGATTTCCCGGAGTTTTACTTCGATAAATTTACGGTTGGTATTTGGACGTCGCGAAACAAGTAAGCCCCTAAATTTTAAAATGCTACTCGGTGTGTTAAAAAAAAATTTATCACTCTGCTTCTTTATTACTTTGTATAATTTCATAATGTTACTTAGTGTGCTTGAAACTTCATATCATTCAAATTAATTGTTGTTTTTTTTTTTTTGTAGAAATAATACAATGTCCATACTAAATGGGTTATTTAGGGATAAAATCAATCGGTTCTATTTTGGTGGGTAAGTATAAATCCATAATGAGTTTGATAAATCCATATTTTGTTATTATTGTATAATTTTGGTTTGTATGATTTCTTTGATGTAGGACTAATCAAATTGCGATTCTATTGAACTTGAAGATGGGGGCAACCCTATTTTTTCAAGAAATTGACCAAAGTGTGGAATCAATTTCCATACAATAAGTCAAATACATTGTTGGTGGATGATTTTTCATACAAGTCGATGCACAATTTAGTAATGTTATAACTCTTTTCCATGAAAATATTAAGTATTCACCATATAATGCATTCACATCCTTATTATTCTAATTATACAATGTTCTTTTTTATTGATTCATTGTGTAATATTTCCAGTACACTTACAAGCATACTAGCAGAGACAACTCATTATGTAATATTCTCAACATTGTTTTTGCAATATATATGTACGCAATGTTTGAAACTATATTATTAAGCTGTTTCACACTTATTGTTTCAAACAGGAATGAACGATGACCTTTGCAAATACACGAATAACTCGGCCGGTTTTGACAATGTTACGGACTTCGTTGCGACAAATCTATTTGGTCAAAAACCTTTATAAGAATTGGATCAACTTTATTAGACACTTAGAGAAAAAGAAAACAACTTATCCACTACTCGATATTATCTTAGACAAAAATAGAAAATGATGATCTAACATTCTAATTGTTTGGATACTTTCATACATATTGTATTTGCGTTCTTACATATAATGACTTTGTGAATGATACTTAACTTATACTTGGTTTAGTTACAACTTCGTAATTGGCTTGTTTATTTATAATTTCAAAATGCAACTCTATGCCGACAATCATTTAAATGAATATCGGTGTGATGAAAACTTGACCTCTAAGCTAATAATCGGTTGAATGGATTTCATTTTAGTGTTTGAACACTTATTAGCATTCCGAAAATAGTACTTTGGATTTTTCTAACATGAAAAGGAAGGATTTTGACTTTTCAGCACACTAACTAGCCTTCGAAGTCACCACTTTATTTTTTATAATTTGGAAACGAAGGATAACAACTTTTCAACACACTTATTAGCATTTTGAAAACGAGTACTTTGGATTTTTCTAACTTAAAAACGAAGGATTTTGACTTTTTAGCATACTAACTAACGTTCGAAAACACCACTTTGTTTTCCGTAACTTGAAAATGAAGGATAACAACTTTTCAAGCACACTTATTAGCATACTAACTAGCGTTCGAAAACACCGCTTTGTTTTCCGTAACTTGAAAACGAAGGATAACAACTTTTAGCACACTTATTAGCATTATGAAAATAGTACTTTGGGTTTTTTTAAACTCAAAAACGAAGGATTTTAACTTTTCAAGACTACTAACTAGCGTCGTAAAAATACCATTTTGGTTTTTTGTAACTTAAAAAACGAAGGATATCAACATTTTAGCACATTTATTAGCATTCTAAAAATAGTACTTTGGATTTTTCTAACTTGAAAATAAAGGATTTTGACTTTTCAACATACTAACTAGTGTTTTGAAAACACCACTTTGTTTTTTGTAACTTAGAAATGAAGGATAACTTTTCAGCACACTTATTAGCATTCGAAAAAGGTACTTTGGACTTTTCTAACTTGAAAATGAAGGATTTTTACTTTTCGAACACTAACTAGCGTTCTTAAAACACCACTTTGGTTTTCTATAACTTGAAAAACAAAGGATACTAACCTTTTAGCACTCTTATTAGCATGCCGAAAACGAGTACTTTGGACTTTTGTAACTTGAAAACGAAGGATTTTGAATTTTCAAGACACTAACTAGCGTTCGAAAACACCATTTTGGTTTTCCGTAACTTGAAAAAATGAAGGATACCAACTTTTCAACACACTTATTAGCATTCTAAAAATAGTACTTTGGATTTTTCTAACTTGAAAAGGAAGGATTTTGACTTTTCAAGACACTAACTAGTGTTATGAAAATACCACTTTGGTTTTCTATAACTTTAGAAACGAATGATACCAACTTTTCAAAGACACTTATTAGCATTCGAAAATAGTACTTTGGATTTTTCTTCTTAATGAATATTTATTGTGATCTTGAATCTTAAATATCTAAATATATGAGGAAAAAATTGACACAAAAAATTTATACATAAACGAGTACTTCCATTTCATTATTGATTACAAAATATAAATTATTCAAAACCTTTCATCTCCATTATATCAAAACAAAAACTACAAAATAACGATTCTCATCTTCATGAATGCCCTATGTACACACTAATTACAAAGCAAAAAAACATCATCCATAATTGCTTGGATTGACATAATGTTGGTGGCAGATTGATTTCCTCTATCTTCGGATGTATTTATTTTTTATGGCCGAGATTTGATATTGGATGCCACATTTTCATAGGTTTCTAGAGTTCCATGAACTTGTTGTCGAAGTGCCGACATATGAGCCGCAAATCCGTATGGATGATCACCATAAAAGAATCTCACATAAGATTTCTCGGCTTCGAAATTATTTTGAAACCTCGATATAGAGCTCTAGGAAAACCAATCACTTGTGCTTCATAATCTTCCTATGAAAGATAAACCTCGGGAGCTTTACCCCTAAATATTGCATATGATTTATTTCTAGCCATTTTTTAAGAATGCTCCAACAACATAGATATTAGAAGAAAGCTCCAATGATAGAGATAACGAAGGGAAAATAAACAAAGAGAAGGGAAGGGATGAACAACTATAACAAGTACTCGCTAATATACATCAAAGAGAAAAAAGAGATGGGATGAGATTCATTGAGTTGGGCGGTCAAAAAAGTAAATAATCAATGATGCACGGTTAACAAAGCCACTAACATAGATATTATAAATAAATTATTGTTAAAATTTGAAATTTAAATTTTACTTGTTCAAAATTATCCGAAATTTTCAACGTGTATTATGTTATTTAACTTTTTTATTTTTCAAATTTATCTCCAAAAGCTTTTTATTTTTAGAAATGTTGTCTGTTACCATGTGTCGCCAATCATTTTTAATAATTAAATTCTCAACTCAACATTTCTTCCATCATAAATTCTCGAGTCAAAATATTAAATATGCAGAAAAAATGACATTAATAATAATAAATAAAAAAAACCCGACACATCAAAAAGAAAGAAATAAGCAAAAGGAAAAAACAAAACGAGGGCACGGGACGGGAGACTACTTATGACTGACTTAACCTAATCCCAGCTTTTTCACTCTTGGCCTTGGACTGTTTAGACAACCTTGCAAGCAAAGCCATCAAATAAAACATCAACAGAAAATGATGGAGAAGAGCTGGCTTCTGGCTTTTCTCCTCTTCCTTCAAATAATCCCAAGAGAGGCAGCTTTTGGTGTTAGTGGTGGCGTGGGTGTTGGGATAGGCAATGCAGGTGGTGGTGGAGTATGGATTGGCGGTGGGATCAACAGTCCTCCTACCCCATCATCGGGGTCTTCTGTTTCAAAGCTGAACGGTGCTTACGCTGCTCTTCAATCTTGGAAATCAGCCATCACAGATGACCCATTGAAGATTTTGGAAACTTGGGGTGGTACCGATGTGTGTACTTATAAAGGAGTCTTTTGTGCAGATCCACAAGAAAACGAACTAGGTCCAGCTGTTGTAGGCATAGATCTCAACTATGCGAATCTGCAGGGCACTCTTGTCAAAGAACTCTCTGTCCTCACAGACTTATCTCTCCTTCACCTCAACAGTAACAGGTTTTCAGGCACAGTTCCTGATACTTTCAAAGACCTCGTTTCTCTTCAAGAGTTGGACCTGAGTAACAACCAGTTTTCGGGTCCTTTCCCAACCGTTGCTTTATACATTCCAAATCTCATGTATTTAGACCTCAGGTTCAACAGCTTTTCAGGATCCATACCTGAAGATGTTTTCAACAAGAAACTTGATGCAATTTTCCTCAACAATAACCAATTTGATAGCCAAATTCCTCAAAATTTGGGCAACTCTCCTGCTTCGGTGATAAATTTGGCCAATAACAAGCTCAGTGGAAACATTCCACCTAGTTTTGGGTTGATGAGCTCCAGAGTGAAGGAGATTTTGTTTCTAAATAATCAGTTGACAGGCTGCATTCCTCAGGGAGTTGGGCTGTTTACAGAGATGCAAGTCTTGGACGTGAGCTACAATTCACTGATGGGTCATTTGCCAGACACAATTTCATGCTTGAATCAGATTGAAGTTCTGAATTTGGCACACAACAAGCTATCTGGACAAGTACCAGAACTGGTTTGTTCTCTGAGAAGTCTTGTGAATCTGACAGTTGCCTACAATTTCTTTTCTGGGTTTAGCCAAGATTGTGCCAAGTTGTTCTTTAGAAATGTAGGTTTTGATTTCTCGTTGAATTGCATTCCTGGGAGAGACATGCAGAGGCCTCAACCCCAGTGTAGTGTGATACCAGGAGGAGGATTGAGTTGTCTAAGAATCCCTTCTGTTCAACCTCTTGTTTGTGGGTCATTAGCGGAGACATTGGAGGCTAATCTGAATCAAAGCCCATCTTCTCCATGAACCACCCGCGAGTGTTACCAATATTGTACAACAGGACCAGCTTCCTGGCCGATTGCTGCTGTCTCATTAATTAATTAATAATACTAGAAGTTATAATTCACAACTCCCTAATTTATTTCTTTGTTGGTTAGGGGAAACAAACGTTAGAAAATTTGCTTGAAATTGAACTTGTTTTCATTCTATGCAGGAGATGGTTAAAATTAGTCATTCGATTTTACTGTCGAGATCAGATTAACCTCTTTATACGATGGTACGATGGATATTAAATCTCTCACACTAATAACTAATCACTAATATATATTGAACCGTTTATATATATATATATATATTTGAGCAACTACACCGTACTAAGCGCCAAGAATAATATTTCTATTTCAATATCTTGTTTTGGATTAGAAGGCATAAGACATGAAAAAACAACGAAACGAGGGAGGCGTGGAGTGCCATTCTTCTACTAGGCACCCAGGTAATAATCAGGTTTGGCAACCATTATACCGACATAACCATGAATGTAGTCAGTCTGACATCCTTTTCCTAATCCAAGTTTTATTGCTAGAATTATTAATGCTATACTAGCTAGAACGTGATGTAGTTCGTAGTATGTCATACATGTGGATTTCTGTTCCATAATTGCGAAGTCCAGTAATCTTGTTCAGCTATACACAGCTAGCATTGCTAAAAATTCATGGTATGTCGTTTTATTTTCAAGCTATTTTGCTTTGTATTTTAATTCCAATCTTGTTTGAATCTTATAGCTGGGCTCTTCTGATATGAAAGAAAATTAGCATTCAGCAAAGGAATACAACAATGCCGTTATATCACATAACACAAATGCCCAGTTCTCGTCTTTTGTTATGGAATGTAATACATTGGATTTGGGAGTTTAAAGGACCTCCGTGACACAGCAAAGCCAAACAAATCACTCCACTGATCACCTGAGTTCCCATGAATCCTGTATCCTTCATTTACCAACTCCAATCTCTTCTGAGATTTGTAAAGGGTCGCCGGTTTCCCTTTATCTGAGCTTTCCCTGCATTGAAAACCAGGGACTTATCTTTAACAAATGTTCAACTAATGATTCAACTTAATGGCTATGTAACATCAACAAGATAAGATGCATGAGGACAGCCCCGAGACTACAATTAAAGGCAAATTACTTTTGTCTCGTTTTATTTAATTACAACATTCATAAATGGAGTAAATTTATGACCTCAAGTCACTCTCCATCACTTACCTCAAAATTAGCCTTTCCCAGTCACTGTATCCTGCGAATAGAAGATTTTTCCCAGTGGCATTCCTTTGATATTCACTCCTCCCAGTTAGCATAAATACATTGAATCCCAGCTGCTTTAGCTCTTTGTACAAATCCAGACTTGCTTGTAAAGCAGGTGCCTCTGCTAAATCCACCCACTTGTCGAAAGATAGTTCATCAAAGGGTTCTGATCTGTGTGCAAAACATGATAAGCTTGTTATCCTTGATCAACCAGTACCTATATGTATTTAATACATCAACTAAACCAGCTTAAAACACAATATGAATCAAGGAGTCCCTGAAACCACTAAGAATTGTTCACTTTGGTCCCTCCGCTTGAATGAATCTTGGTCAGGTTAATTAAGCCTATGTCTGAAGTATTTTCTCCAATAACGGATGCCTTAAGTGGTAATAGAATCCCTTTATTCAAAACATTTTATCGACTACCTAGAAATCATACTCTTCAAGCATAAAATAACACTTTCCTGGCACGAAGGATCGAAACCACAGGGAAAAAGGAAAATCTTGAAGCTTGATCAGAATTTGGTGAAGGTGCCGAATAAGTCAAGGTTAAGTATATCTATTAATGGGATAGCTCAACAATTATTCTTAGAGGCAGAATTTCAGGAGCATTCCAATTCCAAATGATTGCTTTTGGGAAAAAAAATAATAATAACAAACAAACTATTGAAGCTCAGAAGTGTTGTATGGGATTAAATAGCGCAGACTGGTGAGAATGGTGACAACATCTACTTGTGGTGATCAGTGGCATGCACATGAGGCCCTTGCCAAATCTTATGGCACTTGTTTTACTACAAATGCCAAGCTTTCAGAAGTAATTACTAATGAAGATTGGTAATGGACTTTTGCGAAGTCAGATGATATGGTAATTATTCAGATTTCTACACGTGGCCCCTTATCCCTGCCATTACTCAAGGACACTTTATTAAGGAAGCCTAGCGTCAATGAGCAATTCAGCATAAAAAGTGTATGGGAAAGTATGAGGATGAAAGGGATCAAAAGTAAATTGGTATAAGCTAATTTGGGGACCTCTACGTATCGGTAGATTTAGCTTTATCCGGTGGCTATCTGTTCTGGATAGGATCTCAACAAAGAACAGACAGTTTAAGAGGGGGAGAGCATTCAATCCTATCTGTAATTCTGCAATAGTGCCAAAGAAAATCGTGATCGCATTTTCTTCTCTGGTGCTGTCACTAAAGGAGTAAGGCAGCAAGTTGTAGCTCTAAACAAGGCTGTGCATTATAGATTAAAGAAAACTAGGATTCTGAATGAAGGAATTTCTTATTCTAATTGTCTGTTTATTAATCTAGCTTGTTTTCAGTAGCATCTGTTGATGTTTTTGAAGTACACTAAACCCTGTATACAGGAGGATATTTGATTAATGAATCTTTTCCATTTATGAAAAAGAATAATAATAATAATTAAAAAAAAACAATTATTCTCAAACAAACAACTTGCAGGGAAAGGGAATCATAGATGCCTAAATTTTCTTCCTAGAAAAGCATTAGATGACATGCCAAATCAGTATCCCCAGTCCTGTTACAAATGATCCCCACTGATTAATGAGTTGGTTAGTAGCATATGTAGTTTAAAAAACAAAAATTATTTTCATGTTCTAATAATAACATACTCCGAATGTAAGTAATTGGGGTTTAGCTATTTAATTTATTTAGGACCAACCAATTTACTAGATAGCATACCAGCAGAAAAGGGGAAAAAAGAAAAAAACTTAAATCGCAAATTGCATACCCGAATCCATGGAGAACATAGTAGGGCAGATTGGAGAGCAGCGTCTCATCGACATCAAAGACCCAAGCATCCTTCCCATCGCCCGCAATCTCTACCGTCTTAGCGAAGGCAAGCGCGTAGGAAGCAACAACCTCGCTGTCGGAGCGGTACCCATCTCCTGTCATATAGTCTTGCACGTACGACACGCATCCGGAAGGCACATAATCCCAGTATCCAACGTCGTTTGTTTCTACAGAGAATCTCCAGCTGTTGCAGTACACATCGTCGCGGTCTCTGGAGAGTTGAATGATTGATTGGGAAATGGTTTTGGAGATGAGGATGAAGAGCAAAAGGACAAGGGAAGGCAGCAGCAGCTGGGATTTAGCCATTCTTCAAGGGAAAAACAGATTGGATGTGATTGAGCAACTTTTATCTGGTGTTCCTTTCCCCCTCTAAGGACGAGGAGAGGCTAATGGTAAGGAACATGCCACGATCTTTGTTTCTTGAGGCAGAAAGAAGTTATGTATGTATTGAATGATTCTGAATATTTTACTACTGGATATCCTCCACAGACAGGATTCGGACCTTAAAGCGGTATCTCTACGATGAGATTTGTAATTCATTATTTTCTTTAAACGTTTTACATTATTTTAACTATATTATTATATATTTGATGTGCTAACATTTTGTTTTTTGTTTTTTTTTCTATTTGAATATCTATTTTTAATTTTTTTTATTTATATGTGGAACCTTCAAATTTTTTTTTAACTATGTATTTTTGTTAGATTATGTCAAATACGTATTAACATAGTTGTTCTAGCATGCACACTAATTATGCACATTTCACTTTATTTGAAATTAAGTGTTTATATTTTTATTTCAAATATTTACCAATCGATTTTAATTTGATATTCATTTTACATTCTTCTGTATGTAATTTTTGATCAATCTAAATAAAATTAAAAACCAAAACAACAAAACAATAATAATGAATTTATTCAAATTAAAAGAAAGAATGAATACTTCTCTACTTCCAATGAATACTTCTCTACTTCCATGCACTCTTTATTTTATATTTAAAAATTCTCTCTCTATTTTTTTTTTAATCTTAATATCAACCATGTACTCTGTACTTTTACCATCTTTACATTCTTCTGTTAGTTTATACAATTAACGCCCTTAAAAATAGAAATTAGTCGCGTGCTCATAGCATAAATTTTTTGCTAATGGATATTTTGGTCCCTAGAATTTTTTGACACTAAAAAAATCCAAAAACAAAAAAAAAATCATTTAAACAAAACAATTGCATGTTGCATAGTTTTCATGATTTTTTTTTTCAATATTTTTAGGTATTTTAAGGCATTGGCCTAGCTATGGGATCCTTACCCATCCTTTATATAGATGCTCCTTTTGAGGAGGTTGACTTATCGAAGAAAGGAAAAGGAGGGAAGAAGACCAGGATAAGATGAAAAATATTGAGGAAGAGCTAGAAACTTGGCAAGATACAGCAGCCGAAGAAGAACACTAAAAATCACATATGCCACAAAATCCAAACAAAACTGTCCTATAAATCCACTAATGTTGACATTCTGCAATTTCAATATGGGTAGGTCAACTATGAGTTATATATGTTGACTTGGAAAATTCTCTTGAGTTGGAACGTGACAACAAAAAGGAATTGGCACAGCAACTTAAGAAGACCTAAGAAAAGATTGCCTTAATAAAAGAGGACAATTAACTGTTGGAAAAGATCAATAGAGACAATCCTTCTACTGGTCCAACCTACACAATCATTTGGCGCAAGTGACAAACGCAACAATTGCCTAATTAGGTTGGAGACTCAAGGCGATGTTGTCACTCAAAAAGAGATAGCCTTACGAGATTTGAGCAAGTGCATCAATACAAGGAGATTGAGTGATGAATGTGAAGCCTTTGAGATCTATACGAGGAGATATGACAACTTGTTGTTTGAGGTGACTAGGCGAGCAAGGGTTTTTGGGGTTTAATAGGATCCATATGTATATTTTTTTTCCTTTCTTGAACTTGATCTCGATGTATATATTTTCTCATTTTATTATGTAAAATAAAGATGTATTATGAACTAAATTGGGCCTTACGCTCATAATTTTTAATTTTGGATTAATGAAAGCCTTAGTATCTTTCTTTAGATCATATGGATGATACTTGATGTGGAGTCTTGTATGAATGCATTAGACAATCCAAGTCATTCGACAATCAAATGATGGATATCTCTTGAAAATTCCTTTAATGCAAATATCATTGAATTTGCTTATTTTGCATTTCAACAATGAAAGACTCTAATTGTCCGAAAAAAGAAGTGGAAGAAGCATTTTGGTTACTCTAATTCTAGCTAAAAAATAATTTTGTTTTGAATAATCGGTGTCTATGAAGGGGATGGTCTTCTTCAATTGAAATACTTAAAAAAAAAATAATAATATCCGTGATGATATCACTTTCCCCTTAGATCAAAATATTTTAAAGGTTACTAATAAAATCTAATTTTATCTTTAAATCAACTAATGATGAAAGGAATTTCCTATACTAGAACATTTCAAAAGTCAATGATGAAATCCAATTTCATTTTTAAACCACCCCAATGATGGAAGGAATCCCTTATTTCGGAATTTTTTAAAGGTTATTGATGAAATCTAATTTCACTTTTACACCAACTTGAGACAACATCAAATGACTAAAGAATCTACGAATTAATCCTTTTATCATCCTCACTAGAAAGCTACTCCATATTCGAGTCCCAAGTGTCTTTTATTTTTAACATAATATTTATGTCTTGTGTTTTTGTTGCTTTTAAACTCGCGTAAAAATATAGGTCATCATGCCTATTAACACCTAATTTTGACCCTTTTGTTTACAATAAAATGTCAAGTAAATAAATAAATAAAATGCTTTTATTAATTCACTTGATTTTTTAGATTCTTACTTTTTTTTTTTTTTTGGTTATTGGGATTTTAGGGGAAAATAGAGAAAAAGAAAAGAAATAAATGAGAGAAGAAAATAACTTGAAAATTGGGAATTTTTGGCCAAATTCATTAAAATGGGAAATTGGATCAAAAAATAATTGAATTAGGGATTCAGTTAAAAAATTTTCCAATTGAAACTACAAAGAAAGAAAGAGGGAAGAGATAAGAATCAAATGTAAAAAAAAGAGAAAAAGTCGAGGCCAATATAGAAATACATAAAACCCTAACTAACTCTCACTATAAAAACTTTCTTCTTCTCTCTCTAGGGAAAGAGGCCGTTCATTTTGACTTAGAGAGAAATAAACCTAGAGAGAATAAAGAACTCATTCACTCACCTCTACCAAAACCACCATCATCAAGAAGAAAAAAAATCTATAGCCACAAAAACCAAAGTCTGCACAATGTAATACTCACGACCTAGGACCTAAATAGGTTGAGAATATTATCATTGTACCTCATAGTGAATGTAAAACACAAGGCACTATGTCCTCCCTATGGTGTTATTAGGTATGATTTATGCTGCAAAAGCCTATTAAATACCTAATAGGTCCAACTTTCTATAACACCTCTAACCTAGGATCTCGTAGATTGAGAATATTATCGTCATTGACCTACATTCGAGGTGCAATGAATGCAAATCAACAAGGAACTATGTCTTTTCTATGATTACTAGGTATGGACTATACTTGCGAAACATATAAATAATGATTAAGTCCTACATTTTAGTCCAAAATGCACTATGAATTTTTTGTATTTTATTATTTTATCTAAGTTACTTGGACTAAATGATCTTGATCTCGTTACGTTCGGTTTTCTTAAATTCTTTTTTTATCAAATGATAAAAATTTATTTATTAATTACCCGTTACTTAAATTAAATTTCCTTTTTATTTTTATTAATTTCCATTTATCATTATTAATTTCCATATCATTTCATTTTCTTATCCCATAATTGTTTGAATAAGAAATCAATTTAAGGAAGACTACATAACCATAGTTATACTACTATTTACTATCGATATATTGTTTACATATAAACTAACCTTAATATTATTAGCGTAGGTACCTAAGATCCAACCATGTTTGGATATGTTTGATTCATTGTATTATTAAATCATTTATTTTATTAATAATCAAGAAGTCTTTTTAATAATTTTTATGTTTTATGTTCATTAATTTAGTAGAATTAGAAAGAAGTTCTTATGATATACATTTGCAATAGTGATTGATCGAAAGATGTGAAACAAATACTAATGCACATAAATAATATCATTAAATGTCACAAGTCGTAGCATTATAAAGAATGGATATTGACTAGATGCTATAAGACTTGTGAGTATCATGCTCATGCTCATGCTATATGATAGCAGAATGAGATCTTACGCCTATTGGCATGGTGATGCCAAAATAAGCGATTAAGTGATTTATATTAGAGAATATATCACTAGACTTGACTCTCCATGAGAACCCATTTGGTTTAATCTATGGGAATCTCATACGAGATGGGTACAATAAGTTCGTAGACTTGAAGTCATCATAGTTATCTCATTAGATGATTTATGTACTTTGACACTCGTGTTGATAGACCAAGTAAAGGATTGCACATGGGTGATTCATTGGGTGCATTGGGAATCTAATAGAGGTAGGTGGATGACTAAGATACGACATGTCATTCCTTGTATGCTAAAAGGTTATCACATTGTGCTTCGATGAATATCTACTCAAGAAATCTATGGTCATATTAAGAGTACACAAATAGAGTATAGTTGGTTTACTCTACGAGCTAAGACATTTGAGAATCGAAGAAAACGTGTGTGATCATAATCGAATCGGACTAATAATCAAGTTTAAGATCATTTTGTGATAAGTTAACATGAGGACTCGAATTGTATGATAACCATGCCGATCAAAGATAACTAAGGATTAATTAATCCTCCTAGAAAATTGGATAATCATGATGTCTTCTAGAGGCTAATAGTGACTTATGCATTAAAAGATAAAAGAAGTATATTTTATTCTTGATACATTGCTAACATATTTAGGAGTCTATTATATGGCGCTCCCAACTCTCTTACCAATTACCTAAAAGGCGTGGCTAGGTACGTCACGGTTTAGAGACTAACGTCTCAAGTTTACTCCAATACAACATATACAATGTACTTAATATCGTTACAAAAGTTATAAAATATAATTTACAAGTATAAAGACTCCTATATTTTCGTGTCGCACATGAGCCTTTTTTTGGGAGGAACCGGTAGCTTTTTTATTAGCACTACCTTCGCCTTTACTCGTCCTAGCATGAAATAAATACAGAGTGAGTCGAAGCTCGGTAAGTAGGGTGATGCACGTGATATATAATGATTTCATGACTTTCCTACTTTGACTTATTAA